CTGGGTGTCTCTTATTCATGGAATACAGCATTTTTTTGCCTCCTGAAGCCCCGCCCCTTCACAAAAATGGCCGTGCATACCCTTATGGAGGCTTCCAGAGTGCTTCTGAGGATTGGGGAGGGCAGAAATAAGTAAAAAACGGGCTGTTTCCCCCCCCCCCCAAGTCTCCAGCAGCACTCTATAAGCCTCCATAGGGCTATGAATACAATTTTTTGGGTGAAAAACGAGCCCATTTTCCTGGAAAACAGGCTGTTTTTTGTTCGTTTTTTCCCCCCCCCCTCTCAGGAGCACTCTGCAAGTCCCCCCCCCCAAGGCTATTCATGCCTTTTATTTGAAAAAATGGGACCATTTTTGGGAAAAACGGGCCGTTTTGGGGAGGTTTGCGGAGGGCAAAACCTTTTTTTTCCCCCTTTCGGAAAGCTCTTTTAGTAAGAGTGGTTGATGAGAATTACATTGATCAAGTGCTGTGCCAGCAGAAACAGATGCTGCAGGTTGTTAGCGATTTCCTTCTCCAGCACATGGATAAATACACCTGGAAACATCTACCTACCTACCTACCTACCTACCTACCTACCTACCTACTCTTTCTCCCTACCTACCTACTGTATTTCTCTCTCCCTCTACCTACCTTCTCTCTCTCTCTCTCTCTCCCTCTCCCTCTATCTACCTACCTGCTTTTTTAATTTGCATCTTCAAAACCTTGGTGCATCTTATATTCTGGTGCATCTTATACTCCGAAAAATACGGTATTTCTTTCACTACAATAACTCACTATCCTAAGTAGTCTACTGACATTAGAAGGCGTGCAAAGGAGGAAAAATAAGTGAGTTATATGTGAAGTAAGTCTCCCCTGCTTTCTTAGCAGTCTTGAAAGAAAGAAAATGGCAACCAATCTGTTAGAAGAATGCCCAAAGACACAAAGAGGCAGAGAGGTGCAGAAAATGACTTAGTTTTCTTAGACAGTAGACCTAGGAGAAGGTTGAACTAGTGATTAAGCCTCACCAGTTCTATCAGGTTGGCAGCCATGTAATTAACGTCAGTTAACTCTTAAGTAGACATAGGGTTTGTAGAAATAGATACACATACATACAGTGGAAAAATAGTTTTTTAACGGTCTCAGTAGACTTACTGCTTCACTTAAAGAAAGTTGCATTGCTAAAAGAAATGTTTCTTATCTTGTTGGTTACAGCGACAAACAAATGTTTGCAGGAAAGTTTTTGAGAGTAGAGTATCATGACAGTGAATCCTGGACTGGTTAGGTTTTCAATGTAATATACTTTCATGTAACTGAGCACATGTATATTAAATTCTTACAGAAATGTTCTTGCGGGTACATACATGTAGCCCCAGAATCTCATGTAGTCCTTGTTTCCCAAAGATTGCCCAGCTTTTTATGAATCTGTTTGAACTGGATTTTTGGAACTCCCTGTGTCCCTTTACTACTTGGTCATGCATGCTGGAGTTGCTAGTTCTTCATTATTTGAAGGTCAATAAATTCCTTACTCTTGGTCAATTATTTTTCTTTACTTTTTTAGTTTATATCCTGCTTATCATCAGAGCTGAAGACAGCTTACACAGGATCTTCCTTCATTTTATCCTCACAAAAACAACCGTGTAGTGTAAATTAGGCTGAGAGAAAATGATTATCCTTCTTGGCTGACAGTGGATTTGAACCCAATCCTAGTCCAACACCCTCATTTTCTGATCAAAGTTCAGTATAAGACTTCGGTTTATGTGATGGAAAAACAAAACAAAACATAGCAATAGATAAAGAGAGGGTGATGGTACAATCCAGTGACGTGCGGTGAGGTTTATGGCTGGTGAGGCAAGCAGGCAAAAGCCGCCCTATGTCGGACAGAGTGCCGGGGCTTTGGCGCGGCTTTCGGAAAGCCCCGCAGAAGCCCCACCGCTGTGTCCGACAGCGCTGGGGCTTCTGTGGGGCTTTTGGAAAGCCGCACTGCAGCTTCAGCAGGGCTTTTGGAAAGCCGCGCTGGGGCTTTGGGGGGGGGGGCTGTCAGAAATCTGCACCGGGGCTTTCGGAAAGCCGCGCTGGGGCTTTCGGAAAGCCACACCAAAGCCCCAGCGCTGTTGGACACAGCGGCGGGGCTTTTGGGAAGCCGTGGCGAGGCTTCAGTGGGGCTTTTGGGAAGCCGCGGCAGGGCTTCGACAGGGCTTTTGGGAAGCTGCGGCAGGGCTTTCTGAAAGCCCCGCCGAAGCCTTGGCGCTGTGTCCCCGGCACTTTTGGCTTCTGTCAAGAAAGAGGCTTTTGGCTGCTCCGGCACTATGTCCGACATTAGAGGCAGGATGCATCCTGCCTCTAATGGCAGACACATCGCAGGGGCTCCAAAAGCCTCTTTCTTGAAAGTGGCTTTTTGCTGCTGTCAAGAAAGAGGCTTTTGGCCGCTCCGCGCTATGTCCGCCATAGAGGTGGGACACGTCCTGCCTCTAATGGCAGACACAGCACCGGGGCTTTTGAATGTCCAAAAGCCCCGGCGCTGTGTCCACCATAGAGGAAAAACTTCCTTAGAGCAATGGAAGCAGAGAGGACCTATGGAAAGCTTCAAAGAATCAATGCTGGATGGAACCAAAGCTGCCCTGCCGCCCCGGCGCTAGAGGCAAAAGCCGCCCTGCCGCTATGTCCAAAAGCCATGCCGGCCGCTATGTCCGACATAAAAAATAAGTGCCAGCCCGCGCACCAGCAGAGGAAGGTANATTTTCCTCACTGTCTTCACCCAAAGAAAGACTCCTTTTACCAAACTTGGGCTAATTTAGTCAGGTGTGGAAAGCACAGGTATAGTGTACGTTGACGGGTTTCCCTTTGTATGACGCAGCTGTCCCTGTGCCCGGCGTTAACCTTGAAGAACATCTGCAGCTGAGACAAGAAGAGAAGAGGCAACGTGTGAACAGAAGGCACAGACTGGAGGAAGGGAGAGGTTAGACATTGGGTTCCTTTCCTTTCATCCCCCCCACCCTACCTCACTCCAGTTATTAAATTTTGTGTTAATAGATTTTATCCGTGTCCTTTGAGAAACTTAATGGGAAAGAACAGAAAGAATCTGTTTCAAAATTTGCCCCAAAGATGATAATGGAATATCGATCCATTGTATTTTCTTTTCAATCATATTCAGGTTTTAACCCAATCAGGCAACCTTTTGAGATAAAATTGCGACTTTTTTTATTTTTCATTCTTTATCTTCATTTTTTGCTTTCTATTTTTTTAAAAGAAAAAAGTAGAACTACTGTAAATCAAAATATGAATTGCAAAAATAACACGGTCTGAAAAATAAAGGGTGGTGCTTTTCCACAATTATTTGTAGTGATCCACTTTGTAACAAACTTTAGAGCTTATTCTTATCATTTGGATATTCAGATACATTTTTGAAGAAATGTCTTTACTGTTTTGTTAAAACAACACAGTAAATCCTGTATTGTCTTAAATACCGCTAAAAAATTAAGCACTTTTTACTTGAAGAGAAACCAGGACTTCTGTGGTTTGTTGTTATTATTTGCATTGAGTATTGTATATGCATACCTAATCAATATGGTATTTTAAAAAAATAATGACTATATAACAGGTTTTTAATGTCTGAATGGATGATGGAAATATGGCTTGCTAACATAAAACTCATATATTTTCTGATTTATCACTGTAATCTGAAAAATCTGAGATGCAGTTATTTTTCATAGTTAACAGTGACAACATCCATGTGCTCCATTGCCTGTTTATTCTAGTTAGGACATTAGGATTTGCCTCTTCTCACCATGAGATTTGATGCTACAAAGTGTAAAGCTAATTGAGAGACAAGAATGGGAGAGATTTTCATTGTCTTACGTTTGTAGATGGAAGCGGAGATAGGAGTGAGAAAGATGCCAGCAAAATCACCACCTACCCTCCAGGGACTGTCCACTTCGATTGCGATCTTCGAGCAATACAAGTTAGCTGTGGATTTCATCACTCAGGTAGAGTCTTTCTATCAGATTGATCTAGGAATTAAAAAAAAAAATTCTGAACTTTTGTCAGAGAAGCATTTGAAACCTGGTGGGATGGCACAAGTGTGCAAGCCTTTGTGTCTATAAGTGCGTAAAAAGGGTGGCTTGCACGTGCGCCTAGAGCAGTGGTTCCCAAACTTGGCAACTTTAAGACTTGTGGACTTCAACTCCCAAAATTCTCCAGCCAGCAGAGCAAGTTTGGGAACCACTGCTCTAGGCGCACGTGCAAGCCACCCTTTTTACGCACTTATAGACACAAAGACTTGCACACTTGTGCCATCCCACCAGGTTTCAAATGCTTCTCTGACAAAAGTTCAGAATTTTTTTTTTCAATTCCTAAAACAAATTGAAAAAAAAAATTCTGAACTTTTGTCAGAGAAGCATTTGAAACCTG